TATGCATGAAAAAATTGGATGCCAGTGTCTAATGAAATCACATATACCGTTTATGTAAATCAAAAAAGCTATGGGACCAATACACTGTCCAGAATGACAACATTAACAGCATTTCTGGAGGCAGAACAATATTGAACAATTTGTACATTTTGTGACCGATCATTCAGATATGGGGATTGCTCATTCCATATGGCTCTAGCACAGCCGACCTTGGTTTGTGCGGTACACAGTCAAACACCTTTTGCACATCTAGGAGGATGATGTTGGTCACCATGCCACCACCAACATTTGTCAGAACTAGCTACTGGCACACTCTTTAGCAGACTAACTCTTACGCCCGGGTTCATGGATTCTGCGGAAACATGCCTTAGCCGCTCTAACAGAGGTAAATATGAGGGCTGGCGGCGCGGAATTTTTCGATCGATGTACCGGTCTCGGATCTCTCAGGTGTTTCCCTGTTCAAATCCGTACGCGCGACCTTCCTTTAACTGCGTTTCTGTTAGTAAGCTAATCCATTACTTCAATTGTACCACCTACTGAACTGAATTTAGTTAACAAAGTAGTGCGATAATATGATGGGTCTCATCAGTTTACGTTTGCGTGCTATTGAACCCACAGATACGAAACCTTTTGCTACCCTCCGCCGACATTTTAGCGAGAACGAGGCTTGTCTGCATTCCTCAAAGGAGTTAATGCGATCTATTCGATCCACTGAGCACTTTAGATTCGTTATACACTGTACCTATGGAATACAGTATAGCGGTGCATACCAAGTAAGTGGGAGGCCAACGGTTCAGCGTATTCAGCGCTAGTCCGGGTAAGCTGATCAAACTTAAAATCTCACAGCACATTGCTCTCAGGTTAATCAATTGAGCACACTACCATTGTTCCAGTTTTAACATGGCCTCATAATCGACTACCTGGTGCAAACCACAGATAGCCGCTGAATAATTGTGTCAAACCGGCTACAGAAAGATGGTGGAAATAGTTCAGTTTTATTGATCTCTTACGGAGATCTTTTGTGACCACGGGGTACAAGAGATTGATGTAGTTAGCGTTGCTGTGTGTTTTGGGGACGCTAAATTTCGAAAACGACTCTAATTCACTTCACCATACCGCATCACCAACTGTATTCCGCCTTGTGTTGCGCACGGTTTACGACAATTCCCTCTGTGTTGGATCAGAAATGCGGCAGACCGGCATAGAGTAGATTTCGGGCACTGGCCATAAGAACTGTTCTGCTGGACACAACTGAAATAGACACACAATAGACACAACAGAAATAGTTGCGCAACACTAATCTGCATTTCAGGTCAGGTCAGCCAGACCAGAAGTAAAAACATTGATTCTGTGTTATGCATCCCCTTGCCAGTGACTCCTAACCGCATAGGAAATTTCGCTCACGATGATGCGTTCACAGCACATGGCTCATAAATGTCGCACGATAGATGAAACACTGCTAAAGAATTGGCAATATTTTCGCTCGTTGTTGCCATCCCATGGCAGAGAAATCGTCTATCCTACTATCTACTGTTGTCAAAATGGGATCAGTTAGTGCTACCAGTTTCACCGGCTGACATAGGGTGCTGTCCCACAAAACAAAACAGCCACTTACTACTCCAAAAAGAAGCATATCTGATTACGTCACAGTGCTCTGACTGATATACGCCCCAATGCGTCGGATGCTGAGGCAAAATCCATTGAAGATGAAATACTAAGTAACTGGAAACAGTCGGACTCCATTTATTAATTACTATTGGACCAAACTAAACCGTTTTCATCCAAACTCATTACACAAAGTTGAATCAGGGTTAATACGAGTAAGAGTTAGCCTGAAGATTTTGCAGAAGCCGTTATTCTGTTGGCCACTCGGCTTCGAACTACCTCATCTACTGATGGCATCTTCTAAAATATCCCTTGTTGTGTACATTAGAAACGCAAAGGCCTTAAAATAGATCCTTGTCCAAGGTGTTCCGGAGCTTCAGAATTCAGGTCTACTAGAGGCTCAAGTACATGGCTGCAATAAAGACACTATATTTATACCGGCTAAGAGGCAATGTTTTACTAGTCCCGTCGATTGTTCTGATAGGTTATCGAAAACGTTACAGAAGAAAGCAGTAAGTAATTTTATTGTCAAAAGAATGGGCTTAAATTTTTCAATGCAGTAGTCACGCACTCCACGTAGTTTCACGTTACCAGTAGGTGACAATGATAAATATAAGGTACTTCCCAGAGGTTGGGCGGAGAGATAGCGCTAAGTAACAAAATGTAAGTGGCTGCGTGTGTTAATATGGTTAATATTACGTAGCAACGACCGATTTATGGAGAGCGTTCTACGAACGACATGAAACTAGAGAAAAGACATTTCTGTGGCACTCCAGACGGCCAGTTTCAAAGAGTCATTTCTTAATTATGTGTTGCTGCTGAGTTGTAGTAAGGACAGACACACATTCTTTGGATCGTTCAGGATCAAGTAGGCCATTATCAGACCGCCCTGTAAATAGCGCGACCGTCTGATCAATACTTCCACTCTTTTCAGCCTGTACTCGTATGGTAGATTGCTTATTCCAATGAGATACTCAGAAGCTCGACCTTGAGGCTGCTCTCGTGCAGTGAGGTCATGCTTTGGCCATGGATACTGGGCTCGAAGGGCGTATTCAACATGAGGCGAACATATACACTGAGCATCTGTCGAAAGGTAGAGTCGTCTAGTTGTCCAAACTCCCTTCGCAATATATCGACTTGTTTGTTGCGAGCTTTCGCTGTCTCTTCGGATTGCCTGGAACAACCCAAGACATCCTGAACCAGCCCGCTCAGCTCTCGTTAGACGGAAGATTGATGCAGTACTTGCGTTCTGAGCCTGTATGATTAGTTGATTTGGTGTTGGATGGCGAATACCCTACATTTACTCACCTTGAACCGCGTCGAATGTTGTGTTGGCCACGGATGCCCCATATTTAGGTCACACGGAAGCACATTATAATCGGCATCGCTTGAATCCTGTGCCACATCTTTATATCGTCGGCAGACAGTAGAAAACTGGAAGCGATCGTCTGTGCAATGTTAGAAATAAATGCCGAGAACAAACATGATACTAAAACTGAGTCTTGAGACAAACCACACTCGATGTGTGTGGGGTCAGTTAAGGAACTCCGAACTCTAACCACTAATTGGTGTTGAAGGAGAAAGTGGGCGGTCCAACTCAAATGACGGTCACTGATTCCGTTATACCGGAGCTTAGAAAGGGGCACCCGATGATATGGATGATCGGATGCTTTAGAAAAATCCAGGTACATCACATCAATGTTCCCTCCAGCGTCATCTGACTTGGTGAAATTATTCCATGTTTTCCGTAAATTCGTTGTGCACGGTCGCTGTCGACGTAACTCGTGCTGCTGAGGAGCAGTAATACTACAGTTTTTAAGGTAGCGCACCTTGAACGGTACAAGCAGAAGATATACTGGACAGTAGTTTGAACGCACAGCGCTGCTTCCACCTTTGTGAATTGGACTTATTATTTCAGGCCACCACATGACAGAACGCTGATTCTAGTAAAGCAGTGCCGGCAGAACTGAGTCAAACGATCTGCAGGGTTTCTTGCTGCTGATCCTGGCGCTTATGGATAATTGGTATCGGCACCCGGGTAAGGGTGGTTGCGCAGCGACGTCAGCTCTTCCAAGACAGCTTCTTTGGTAAGACAGATGTAGTTGAGTCCCGGTGGAGAGGCGAAAAAGGCTGGAATATCGCCTAATGATAATACCCTAAGAAATTTGTGAACGTACTACGTCCGCAAGGCGTTTGCTGCTTCTGTAGTCGTTCTCATTGGACCTACTGCCTTCCGAAGCGGAGGAGCCCCCTGTCTGATCTTACGGATACAAGTTACTTGTCCGCACAGCAGCATGTGACTGGTAATGAAGATTGTTGCGAGATTCTGCTGATATGGAGCTCTGCCTTACTTGAGCAGTGGAGTGCAGTGGGATACCTAGTAGCTCCAAGTAACGGATGTTGGAGATGATCCATGCGCTCCCCATGTTGCTTCGCGTACTTCCATTCATGGCATTTTATCCATGAGCTGCTTACTGTCAAAGATGAGACCACTAGTTGCATATCAATGTGGCCATACTCACGAAACTACAAGACGTGTGGTCCACTGGTGACAACGTGAAGCTACAATCCAAAACCACTGCCGAAAATGCGCTCGGAATGTGGAGCAAATTGTGCAAAGCTACCATCCGAGATACGTTTATAGACGATAGACACCAGATCCCAAAGGGACAAGGTATCACTAGACAAGCAGCTATTTTTGTGACTCCGTCGGCATGCAGCTTTGAGCAGTGGTGCTGCCAAAACACTCCGACGGCTAAAGGAGTGCTTGGTTATCATCCAAATGCTAGCATTGAACACTACACAGGAACCTGGGATCGTTCTGGAGCCTGTGCCATCTGTTCAACAAAACGACTGGCAGCCGATCCAACTAGCTTATGGCAAAAACGCACCTGAACTCTCTAGCGACCATTACGCTCCCAACACTTGTGATCCTCATTTTCTTTTATACCAAAGCATATGGCATTCTCATTAGACTAACCCAACTTCGGACTAGTTAAGTTTCAATACTCTGGGACCCCGTCATGGTTAACGAAACATGGTTGAATACTAAGATCATGGATACTGAGATTTCTTCGCCTGGCATTTCCGCCATAGGAAACGATCGAACGAGCAGATGAGAATAGACAGGATTGCATTACCGATAATACCGATGATCCAACAACGCAATTTGTCGGTTCTACTTGGTGCCACCTACATCTGAGACGTGGTGGTGTGTTTACTAGCAATAACATATCGCCCTCCAATGTCCACCTTGAAAATAGATCACCGCTTATCTTATGCTATGAAGCGTGTGCTGTCACGGTCCTGCAGTCACGTCTTTCTGGTGAAGAACTTCAATCTGAACGCAACCGAAGTCCCTGCTTCTCTCAATGAACAATTCAAGGTTAACTTACCGGAAGCAATAGCCGGTTTGCTGATAAAAAACCATATCATCTCTCTTGCGCAACTCAGGACTGGTGACGGACCAACTGTTTTAGACTTTGCTTTCACTAACGTGGAAATAATGTAATGGTCAATGCTGTAACCATAGGTACATCGCTTGACCATACAGATCATGCCACGCTGCTTTTTCGTTATATCTTTTACGTGGAATACACCCGTGTGTGTTAGGTCTCGGAGGGCCTGCTCCGAGGAAGGTACGTACGCAATTTTCCCAAGTAACCTTGTGCCTTGTATCAGAACAGTCTCAGTTACAAGCAGACTAGTGTTTTTCTGTGTTGCGGAACATTTGTTACTATCGCTTGTTTCACACCACTCACACGTCCTGTGATTCTTTGAGATCGATAAATTCAAACTAGCACACGGCCGTGATTTGGACTGTATTGATGTGTTTTGATTCCCACGTCGGCCTGTTCTGTGTCTCGCAAATATACTTCTCATCCGCCGCGTTGTTTTTTGACTCGCGTGGCGCAATCTAAGAAACTGCTTAGTCGAACCCCTGAGGAGACAACAGTATGGACCAAGGAAGCTCACGTCGTCACCCATTTCGACAGCCTGTCTGAATTTAGTCAAGCACCAATCTGGTCTTTCCTAACCGAACAGCCTCCCCAGGTTGGCTGGTGTGAGCTTGTCACCCAGTTTACCAGGCCAATGGTAAATGCGTCGGAAACCAATATCTCGCGTCCGAAGCGAACAAAATCATTTCTGTGGAGCCGAACTCGGAATGTGTATAAATAATAGACTAATACTTACGCGCTTCTAAGAGCTATCCGAATGCACAAACCTGGGATATCTAGGGGAATCAGCGAAATCGTTGTCAACTTGGAACGCAGAGACAAGCTTAAGTGCCAACAAGATTTAGCGATGGGGTTTGGCGCGTCAATGGGCTCCGCAGAGAGCCGTTCAGAATCCCCTTTTTGCGTGCAGCTTATGGTCTGGCGCTAACTGCATAAGAGACAACCAACGCACTTAGACGACGGTTCATCCGCACTTTCCAGAGTGAATTGGATTTGGAAGCTGCTGTCTTTGCGCGTTCTGTGGTGGACGACATGAGCTCACAGACACAAAATATAGGAGCCGTGAATATGGCCATACCGTTGGCTCACTGCTTTAAATGATACATTGAGGAAATGCAGATCCCACAATATGGAAACATGGAATATTTATCCTTATTTACGATGGCATCAATCGTATGAAGCCCACCAGCTTCCACTACTAGCCCTTCTCTCGGTACTGTCCAAAGTTATCGAAGGTACTATCGCAGTGGCGTTTTTGAGTTATCTTGAGAGTATCAGCACCGCAGCATCGCAACAGTAGGGATTCTACCGAAATCGGTCATGCAGTACGAAGTTATTGTTAGCGAACCTAAGTTGGATAGAATCTGTCGATGTTACAGCAGGATTTGACGTTATCTGCCTGTACTTCTCAAAAGTTCGATCGTCTGGACCACCACCATTTCCTTCACAAGCTTCGAAGCTATGGCATTGGGGCTATTGTCTTGGATTGTATAGTCAACTTCCTAAACATCTTTTCTGACCTAATCAATGTCGTGTGGTTAACCCCAGTAATCAGTATTGGACGTTTTGTGTGGTATTCATAAGCGATATTGCCAGTGTATTCCATTCGAAGTTACTAATCTTTACAGAGGACCTCAAGATCTACCACGATATCAAGACAGTTGTCGACTATGCGGCACTGCACAGCGATCTCAATAACACTTTTACATTGTTGCCTGATATTATGCTCTACTTTGACGTTGCGAACTGCAAAGTTTGAGCATACTCCATCAACGCACTCATGAATGTCGAGGAGGGGAACAGTGGTTAAATTATGCTACCCAGGAAGGCGATCTACTAGTAATTGTTCAGGATGACATTGTTCGAAACAGACTGAAAATTCATCGAGAAGCGCCAGTCAGCTCCTGCTTCTCTTACGGAGAACGTTTGGCGATTTCCAGCTTTCCATTCTTCTAAACATTTGAGGGCTTACGTGAAATCTAATGTGGAATGTGCTATACAAGCCTGGCGCCCCTGTCGCAAACACGATGTTGCTCTGCTTTAATCTGCACTATGAAGGATGACCAAATGCATTGGGGGGTTTTCACATGACTTACTAGCTCAGACTGCAAGTCCTTGGATCGTGTATTGGTGAATCTTAGTGTCTGCAAGATCTCATCATGATGTACCAAATGCTAGCAAAGCTCATCCACGCTTGCTGTAACTCAACCACAGCTTCACAACAACCTGAGAGACCGGCAGCTCAAAGCGTGCACGCATTGCAGTGGACTTGCTTGCCTATAAACTGTTTACTAAGTATCCTGGACGTGGAATGCTGTTCGATCCTACGTAATTTATTCCTCAAACTTCTGATTTCCCAAAATGTTAGCTTGCAAATTGTTTAGCCCAGCCGACGTCCCCCATGGCTCCAGTGGCTTAAGCTGATGGCTAGTTAGCATCTGCTTCTAGCGGTCATGGGTTCGATCCCCAGTAGGGGACCGAGAGAATGCGCAACACTGACGAGACCCAATAGAGTGAGACGCGTCCGGTGCTTTTCCGGACTAGGCTGTGCTATGTAGCTTTTGAGCAGCTGGGACAAAAACAGTAAAATTCTAAAAATGTCTTAACGTAGCGCCATCCCATTTTCAGTTAGCGATATAGTCTGTTTCCCTCGGAAGAGGAAATAATGCGAACTAGCCCTCTCTGTAACTTTGTGGTGGTAAAAGCAACGTCTGTGCCCATATGAATTGGTTCGTGAACTCTTCTTATATTTCCTCATCACTCTTAACTTTGGCTTTGTGACGCATATTCCAGCCATCCCTGGGGACTTGTTAAGCAATCGCTGTGTTACCCGTCCCAAGGCATTGCTTACAGCTCGTAGATATCGAAAGTGGTTCCATGAAATTAGACACTGTAAAATACTGGGGATATGTTTGATCTTCTACACTTTTGGCAAGCCCTCTGTAGTGCAGACTTTCCAGATGTCTCAAGTTCCAGAGAACCAACTGTATCGAATGACTGTAGTTTACACACATAGAGGTCTGCTATCCCTACCTGATGAGAGCAGCCAACTTCGAAAGCAGTCGTGGGGCGTGGCGCTTTTCGGGAGCTACCATACCTAGTATTCAAAAGCTTTAGCAGTTTCGGTTCCAGTGCTTAAATTGACCGAAGTTTATTTCCCTGTGTATCGTGGTCCACATTGAGACTGCATGTGGCAGTCCACTCACACAACGAGTGCTTCAAACTGATCCATCGATCACACCAGCATTTGTTCTTTCAACACAGTTAACGAGTCTGCCCAATGACAACCTACTCAGACGTGCTGTTAGACCGCAATAGCCGGCGATGTTGGTTTAGAAATCTAAGTGAATTGACTGTGCTGGACTTATTGAGCGCCTTGTGTACGGCTGTCCCCGGGTCTGTGTATGCCTATTCGTGCAGTTGTTGTATCTTAAGCTGTCAGGTGCTTTTCACTAGTTCAGGGCCCAAATGTCACACTTGCGTTTTTGGTAAGACTCTGAGTTCATCCGCAAAGCATGTATTTTTATGTATGTGCTTGTAAGCATAGAAATCCATGTCACTCCATAATTTCCTACTATTTCCTCTGTCATCAAAACTGCGTTTCCATTATCACTGCATGGGATTGTGACATATATGCCACGGGGACACGTTTACGTGCTCGTCTGTGTGTGTACAGATGCACCTGTTGGTAGCGCCTATGTTGTGTTCCTTTGCTGCTATTTAGTGATAGTTTAACGGTTCACCAGGTGTCGTCGCCAGTCGGACATCTATTCTAGCTTGATATATTGGGTCCGCCTGAACAGGATTTGTATCCGATCACCGCTACCACGTCAACGCTGGTCGCAGGAGACTACTGTCGCTGCCGCGCACGATGGAGAACTCACTCCGTGACAGCACGAGATTCCAAGAGCGATTTTCTTATGGATCGGTCTATGGCTCAGCCATTGCCGCATGTGTGTCTCTGCTGTGTACACCCTCAAGTGTTGCAACGGTGAGTAACCAGCAAACATCGATTCCGTAGAAGTGGAATGTATACATAAATAAGGTGCGCGGCACCTCCGATCTGAGGAATTTTCATGTAGCGCATCTATCCGGAAGCAATAATAGAAAGTGAGCTGCTTCGGAAACAATGGAGTCCTCACATCCGTGCTCACCAGCCTCGATCATTCCAGTCTAAATTTGATTTGGGATGGACGTATTCGGTTGCAATTGCTCCAGTACAATTCACCCATGCTCATTCAGTGTAGTAATTTGGTCACAATAACAGGAGATTATGGAACCAGGAACCTTGAGCCGGTGTTTTTGCGATGAACAAACTACTTGCTTATTAGTTAGATGAAAATTGACCAGCTTGCTGATGCTGCTGTAATGAGCTAACTCAAAGCTCCGGATGAGCTACGCCTGGGAGTATAACGCCAACTACTTCGCAGAACGTTAACCGATTAGCACGTAATCGATGCCTCATATCAAGCTCATAAACATTCAACAAGAAATGGTAATAGAAAATCAGCGCCTGGTGGCAGTTAAAACTAATTGTAAGTTTGAGTGTCGGGTTTTGTTTCTCCAAATAAATGTTTATGAGTGTTAAGTGTGTACTATCGGAGTGGAAAAGAACATATGATGAGCGTTCACCGAGTGCGACTCATTTATGCAACTACATAAAGTGCGTTGTTTTCTGGCTGTGGTCTCATTTTCCTGCCATTTGTCGTCCATTACTTCCATCTAAAAACCCCAACGATGTTCTGCTTTACCTTCAAACTAGGCGTTTGACGAATTTAGTGCATTCTTGTCTACCATTCTGACGTCATTTTCGACAGTTCAGAGAAAGCAGAATGTAGTTTGTCTCAACAACGGTGTCCTATACCTGGAAATGTCTTGGTGAATTATGTAGTTCTATCTGAATTTTACCAGACGTGGATTTCTTCCCAAGTGGGATATCCTAGATCAGCTATTCTCAATTAGAGCCATATGGTCCCCATAGGGGCCATAGCAAAATCCCGGGGGCCATGAGATGAGAAATATTTTAGGGGGACCATAGGGAGCCACGCTGTGAAACGCGGGTTATGATAACAGTGTTAGCATGATAAAGTAATAAAATTTATTTAAAAATTTCTGATAGTCTCTCCGCGCCTTAATCTGCCCTGGTAACTGCCGGTCAGTGAAATAAAGTATGCGCACGCACGTGGCAATTTACAAAGGTGTGATAGCCAAACCGGATATACCCTCTGCTGCGGAGCTGACATAACTCCGCCGAACTTACACAGATTTCGCTAAGCTGACCTCAAACATGCAATCACCATACGGCGACTTAGACTGCGTG